CCTTGTTTATTGTGTAAATGGTGGTATATATCTTGTTTATTGTGTAAATGGTGGTATATATCTTGTTTATTGTGTAAATGGTGGTATATATCTTGTTTATTGTGTAAATGGTGATATATATCTTGTTTATTGTGTAAATGGTGATATATATCTTGTTTATTGTGTAAATGGTGGTATATACCTTGTTTATTGTGTAAATGGTGATATATATCTTGTTTATTGTGTAAATGGTGGTATATACCTTGTTTATTGTGTAAATGGTGATATATATCTTGTTTATTGTGTAAATGGTGGTATATATCTTGTTTATTGTGTAAATGGTGATATATACCTTGTTTATTGTGTAAATGGTGGTATATACCTTGTTTATTGTGTAAATGGTGATATATATCTTGTTTATTGTGTAAATGGTGATATATATCTTGTTTATTGTGTAAATGGTGATATATATCTTGTTTATTATGTAAATGGTGATATATATCTTGTTTATTGTGTAAATGGCGGTATATATCTTGTTTATTGTGTAAATGGTGGTATATACCTTGTTTATTGTGTAAATGGTGATATATATCTTGTTTATTGTGTAAATGGTGGTATATATCTTGTTTATTGTGTAAATGGTGTTATATACCTTGTTTATTGTGTAAATGGTGGTGTATACCTTGTTTATTGTGTAAATGGTGGTATATATCTTGTTTATTGTGTAAATGGTGGTATATACCTTGTTTATTGTGTAAATGGTGGTATATACCTTGTTTATTGTGTAAATGGTGGTATATACATTGTTTATTGTGTAAATGGTGGTATATATCTTGTTTATTGTGTAAATGGTGATATATACCTTGTTTATTGTGTAAATGGTGGTATATATCTTGTTTATTGTGTAAATGGTGGTATATACCTTGTGTATTGTGTAAATGGTGGTATATACCTTGTTTATTGTGTAAATGGTGGTATATATCTTGTTTATTGTGTAAATGGTGGTATATACCTTGTTTATTGTGTAAATGGTGGTATATACCTTGTTTATTGTGTAAATGGTGATATATATCTTGTTTATTGTGTAAATGGTGGTATATACCTTGTTTATTGTGTAAATGGTGATATATATCTTGTTTATTGTGTAAATGGTGGTATATACCTTGTTTATTGTGTAAATGGTGGTATATACATTGTTTATTGTGTAAATGGTGGTATATACATTGTTTATTGTGTAAATGGTGGTATATACCTTGTTTATTGTGTAAATGGTGGTATATATCTTGTTTATTGTGTAAATGGTGATATATATCTTGTTTATTGTGTAAATGGTGGTATATATCTTGTTTATTGTGTAAATGGTGGTATATACCTTGTTTATTGTGTAAATGGTGGTATATACCTTGTTTATTATGTAAATGGTGGTATATACCTTGTTTATTGTGTAAATGGTGGTATATACCTTGTTTATTGTGTAAATGGTGGTATATACCTTGTTTATTGTGTAAATGGTGATATATACCTTGTTTATTGTGTAAATGGTGGTATATACCTTGTTTATTGTGTAAATGGCGGGTTATACCTTGTTTATTGTGTAAATGGTGATATATACCTTGTTTATTGTGTAAATGGTGGTATATACCTTGTTTATTGTGTAAATGGTGGTATATATCTTGTTTATTGTGTAAATGGTGGTATATACCTTGTTTATTGTGTAAATGGTGGTATATACCTTGTTTATTGTGTAAATGGTGATATATATCTTGTTTATTGTGTTATGGTGGTATATACATTGTTTATTGTGTAAATGGTGGTATATACCTTGTTTATTGTGTAAATGGTGGTATATATCTTGTTTATTGTGTAAATGGTGGTATATATCTTGTTTATTGTGTAAATGGTGATATATATCTTGTTTATTGTGTAAATGGTGGTATATATCTTGTTTATTGTGTAAATGCTGGTATATACCTTGTTTATTGTGTAAATGGTGATATATATCTTGTTTATTGTGTAAATGGTGGTATATACCTTGTTTATTGTGTAAATGGTGGTATATACATTGTTTATTGTGTAAATGGTGGTATATACCTTGTTTATTGTGTAAATGGTGATATATATCTTGTTTATTGTGTAAATGGTGGTATATACCTTGTTTATTGTGTAAATGGTGATATATATCTTGTTTATTGTGTAAATGGTGGTATATATCTTGTTTATTGTGTAAATGGTGGTATATACCTTGTTTATTGTGTAAATGGTGGTATATACCTTGTTTATTGTGTAAATGGTGATATATATCTTGTTTATTGTGTAAATGGTGATATATATCTTGTTTATTGTGTAAATGGTGATATATATCTTGTTTATTATGTAAATGGTGATATATATCTTGTTTATTGTGTAAATGGTGATATATATCTTGTTTATTGTGTAAATGGTGGTAAATACCTTGTTTATTGTGTAAATGGTGATATATATCTTGTTTATTATGTAAATGGTGGTATATATCTTGTTTATTGTGTAAATGGTGATATATACCTTGTTTATTGTGTAAATGGTGGTATATACCTTGTTTATTGTGTAAATGGTGGTATATATCTTGTTTATTGTGTAAATGGCGGTATATACCTTGTTTATTGTGTAAATGGTGGTATATACCTTGTTTATTGTGTAAATGGTGGTATATACATTGTTTATTGTGTAAATGGTGGTATATATCTTGTTTATTGTGTAAATGGCGGTATATATCTTGTTTATTGTGTAAATGGTGGTATATACCTTGTTTATTGTGTAAATGGTGGTATATACCTTGTTTATTGTGTAAATGGTGGTATATATCTTGTTTATTGTGTAAATGGTGGTATATACCTTGTTTATTGTGTAAATGGTGGTATATACCTTGTTTATTGTGTAAATGGTGATATATATCTTGTTTATTGTGTAAATGGTGGTATATACCTTGTTTATTGTGTAAATGGTGATATATATCTTGTTTATTGTGTAAATGGTGGTATATACCTTGTTTATTGTGTAAATGGTGGTATATACATTGTTTATTGTGTAAATGGTGGTATATACATTGTTTATTGTGTAAATGGTGGTATATACCTTGTTTATTGTGTAAATGGTGGTATATATCTTGTTTATTGTGTAAATGGTGATATATATCTTGTTTATTGTGTAAATGGTGGTATATATCTTGTTTATTGTGTAAATGGTGGTATATACCTTGTTTATTGTGTAAATGGTGGTATATACCTTGTTTATTATGTAAATGGTGGCATATACCTTGTTTATTGTGTAAATGGTGGTATATACCTTGTTTATTGTGTAAATGGTGGTATATACCTTGTTTATTGTGTAAATGGTGATATATACCTTGTTTATTGTGTAAATGGTGGTATATACCTTGTTTATTGTGTAAATGGTGGTATATACCTTGTTTATTGTGTAAATGGTGATATATACCTTGTTTATTGTGTAAATGGTGGTATATACCTTGTTTATTGTGTAAATGGTGGTATATATCTTGTTTATTGTGTAAATGGTGGTATATACCTTGTTTATTGTGTAAATGGTGGTATATACCTTGTTTATTGTGTAAATGGCGATATATATCTTGTTTATTGTGTAAATGGTGGTATATACCTTGTTTATTGTGTAAATGGTGGTATATACATTGTTTACTCTGTAAATGGTGGTATATACCTTGTTTATTGTGTAAATGGTGGTATATATATCTTGTTTATTGTGTAAATGGTGGTATATATCTTGTTTATTGTGTAAATGGTGATATATATCTTGTTTATTGTGTAAATGGTGGTATATATCTTGTTTATTGTGTAAATGGTGGTATATACCTTGTTTATTGTGTAAATGGCGATATATATCTTGTTTATTGTGTAAATGGTGGTATATACCTTGTTTATTGTGTAAATGGTGGTATATACATTGTTTACTCTGTAAATGGTGGTATATACCTTGTTTATTGTGTAAATGGTGGTATATACCTTGTTTATTGTGTAAATGGTGGTATATATCTTGTTTATTGTGTAAATGGTGGTATATACCTTGTTTATTGTGTAAATGGTGGTATATACATTGTTTATTGTGTAAATGGTGGTATATACCTTGTTTATTGTGTAAATGGTGGTATATACCTTGTTTATTGTGTAAATGGTGGTATATACCTTGTTTATTGTGTAAATGGTGATATATACCTTGTTTATTGTGTAAATGGTGATATATACCTTGTTTATTGTGTAAATGGTGGTATATATCTTGTTTATTGTGTAAATGGTGGTATATATCTTGTTTATTGTGTAAATGGTGGTATATATCTTGTTTATTGTGTAAATGGTGGTATATACCTTGTTTATTGTGTAAATGGTGATATATATCTTGTTTATTGTGTAAATGGTGGTATATACCTTGTTTATTGTGTAAATGGTGGTATATACCTTGTTTATTGTGTAAATGGTGGTATATACCTTGTTTATTGTGTAAATGGTGGTATATACCTTGTTTATTGTGTAAATGGTGGTATATATCTTGTTTATTGTGTAAATGGTGGTATATAATGTTTATTGTGTAAATGGTGGTATATACCTTGTTTATTGTGTAAATGGTGATATATACCTTGTTTATTGTGTAAATGGTGATATATATCTTGTTTATTGTGTAAATGGTGTATATACCTTGTTTATTGTGTAAATGGTATATATATATTGTGTAAATGGTGTATATATCTTGTTTATTGTGTAAATGGTGGTATATACCTTGTTTATTGTGTAAATGGTGATATATACCTTGTTTATTGTGTAAATGGTGATATATACCTTGTGTATTGTGTAAATGGTGATATATACCTTGTTTATTGTGTAAATGGTGATATATACCTTGTTTATTGTGTAAATGGTGATATATATCTTGTTTATTGTGTAAATGGTGTTATATACCTTGTTTATTGTGTAAATGGTGGTATATATCTTGTTTATTGTGTAAATGGCGGGTTATACCTTGTTTATTGTGTAAATGGCGGTGGCAGGTGCGATCCATTCTCTAGCATGAATCCCAGCCTCGATCCAAATCACTGGCTTAGCCCGTCCTTCATCGTTTTTGCCAAGCTGGAAATTAATTTTCGTTAATCAGGATTTAAATCTAAGTGTGCACAATCAGTTATTTAAAAAAAATTAAAATTCAAAGTCGAATTATAAATCGGAATTAGTTAGCACATTATGTCAACCGGAAATGAACTGTAAAGTGGTGTTTTTGGCAAGGATTCAGTTTTGGAATTATCAATATTGGTTTTGAGATCGATAAAATTGAACACTGCTTTCAATTTATTCTGCACCAAAAGGATTTTTTCTGAACTTAATAAACTGTTAAAATTGTTTCTCACAATAACAATATTTAGAGAAAAGTCACTCAATTTAAATGTTCACTTATACAATACCCAACAAGCAGTTAATTCGAATGTTTTGAAAAAAAATAGGTTTCATTAAGACATCATTTACCTTTATGATTTTCATGTCTCTACCCTCGTGTGACGTACCCAAGGACTCCACTTTAGCGAGTGTGGGGTATTGTAACGCCATGCTGGTAAGCCAGCTGTCAATCTGAGCAAAAAAAAAAATAAATTCAGCATATTATTGCTAGGACGTTTATATTGGCAATGTAGTTCAATGTATTTATTCCCAGATCATGACAAGGAGCACACGGCCCGTGTAACTTGTTGATTTGAATGTTGTACAAGTAACAAATAAATAAAATGTACATTAAAATCAACAGAACATGTCTGTAACATTATGGGTTCAGATATATTGACATGAATAAAGCACTGTGTCTTTTGTTAGGTTATAATGTTATCTACCTCGGAATGTCTTGCGAATTTTCCCACGATATCCTGGTTTATGGCATGACTTAATGAAGTTATAATGGCGCCTGCTGAGTCAATGACGTAATCAGGATTCTGCATGGATGACTGTTCCTGGTCGATTACACTGAAAACAGTAAAATCTCTACATTTCTTTCAAAACATACAAAAAAATATACGATTTTATCATTGACAAAATGGATAAATCCAGGTCTTGTCATCATTGGACAAGCCAAAATTATTCCCGCAATTCAACGAACCAAACACAATCAAATAAATCTAGTGATATCAAATCATTACTTTATGGGGTTTTTTTTTTGAAAAGAAACTTATCGACACGAATGCCGAAACAAAATATTTAAAATTGTTTGATCAATACCTTTGTAAATCATAGACTAAAATGATTGGCTGTAGGCCGACACGTGACAGCTTCTTTGTGACGTAATTGTACATTTTTATAGGCACGTGAATTTCTACATCAGTGTTTAAATGCGGTCTCTTCCAAAAGTCAATCTAGAAAAAGAAAATTTGGTTATTTAGAAACTTTTAAGTAAAAAAAAAATTGAAAATAACTTGCGTAGAGTGAGGGTATTCTACTCTATCTTTTAAAAATCTTTTAAAATATTTCTAAATTTATGGTGGTAAATAGAAATGATTTGTTATAAAAAGAAAAAAATAAGTGACCAGATTGAAGTAGGGTTGGCTTAAAACTGAATATAACAAAGTAAAAGAAAATTACATAAAATAAAGAATTCTACTGACAGAACGGTCAAGAAATTTTAAGCACAAGGATGGAAATTGACACTGATAGTGAAAGATTATTATAATCTGAATATAAAGAGGAAAATCAGGATCATACCTTGAGAATCGGATTGTCCTGGAGTCTTTCTAAAGCTCGCACCTGGACATTTGTTGTGGGGTGAACACGAACCAATTTATCTCTGTAATTCATACAATATGAAATAAAAACTCACTACGTTATAATTTACATGGTCATTAGTTGTGGGGTGAACACGAACCAATTTATCTCTGTAATTCATACAATATGATATAAAATAAATAAATATCACCTGGTCATTCGTTGTGGGGTGAACACGGATCAACTTATCTCTGAAATTCATACAATATGACTTAACAACTCATTACGTTATAATCTCACCTGGTCATTAGTTGTGGGGTGAACACGAATCAACTTATCTCTGAAATTCATACAATATGACATAAAAACTCACTACGTTATAATATCACCTGGTCATTCGTTGTGGGGTGAACACGAACCAATTTATCTCTGTAATTCATACAATATGAAATAAAAACTCACTACGTTATAATTTACCTGGTCATTCGTTGTGTGGTAACCACGGATCAATTTATCTCTGAAATTCATACAATATGACATAATAACTCACTACGATATAATATCTCCTGGTCATTAATTGTGGGGTGAACACGGATCAACTTATCTCTGAAATTTATACAATATGACATAACAACTCACTACTTTATAATATCACCTGGTCATTAGTTGTGGGGTGAACACGGATCAACCTTACGCGGGTTATGTATTTTTTCTGCAACAGCTGCTTCCGTTCATTCCAGTAACAACAAACAAAGAAAGCATTTTATTGTTTAAATAATTGCACGTGGTCATTAGTTGTGGGGTGAACACGGATTAACTTATTTCTGTAGTTCATATAATATAACATAACAACTCACTACTTGATAATTTCACAGTTCATTCCCCAACCTTAACCCCTTACCCTCACACGCATTCTATTAAGAAGAAATACACATTCCGAAAGGAAAATGAATGTTTTAAGATTGGAAACTAGTCCGCCATTACAAAAAAAGACTCCAGTGGTGGTAAAGAGAACGATGAACTAAAAAAGTAAAAAGATTGACAACTTTATTCAACATGCAGCCACTGAAGGTTGACAACTTAATTCAGCATGCAGCCACTGAGGTTGACAACTTAATTCAGCATGCAGCCACCGAAGGTTGATAACTTAATACAACATGCACCGATTGCCATTGAAGGTTGACAACTTTTAAATTCAACATGCAGCCACCGAAGGTTGACAACTTAATACTTGATATCGCGATTACTTACATGTGTAACTTAGCGGAACTCTTTCGCGATGGAGGTAGGAAACGTCTGTTGGATGGGGGCAAATGTGCTATTGAATGCAACGCAAGATCGATCATTGTAGAATTCATTAGGACATATAAGCAAAAAATGCTGGTAGAATACCTTGCTAAACAATCGCTGAACCAGTCTAATTAATTTTTGAGAGGAGTTAATCTTAAAATGTTACATTTCTAACGATAGTTTTAACTAAGCGGGCCCTTCTCATTAAATTTTCATTGAAAATCGTCACATTTTAAAGCTGAAAAAATATTCTCAACTCTCCTTATTTAACATTCTACTATTTGAAGTTTAATTCTTGGCAATACATTGTACTTTCGGCATAAATTATTCAAATCATTCGATTGTCACTACTGTAAACAATGCCATGTGCCCCAGTAATCTCGCGAGATTTAGAAATTTCTCGACTCTCCCCACAAAAGAGCGGAAGTAAGTTAGATAACTGCGAGGTACTCGCGATATTACGTATTCAACATGTAGCCACTGAAGATGCTTCTTTCTCTGTCTAACGACACTTTATGAAGTGCAATGTTTCAAATCATTTATTTCGTTTATAATTTGATGTTTTGAATTAAAAAAAAATATAAGAAAACATATCAAATTGAATTAATTTTTTTCTGTATGAATTAGGACAGCCTACTTCTTAAAAATTGATATTTTATTTTCTATGTTTCCTTTTCAATAACAAAAACATATTTAAATATATTAAAAAAATCAACCCTAACTTTACCCGTGTAGTGCTGAAAATTCTCCTCAATTTCTACCCCATATACTTAATTGTATATATACCCCATTTTTACGCACAGATAGTAACTCTTTTGAATAATTTTTTACAATTTACAAATAGTAGCTATTTTGAATACTTTTTTTGCACTTAAAGATGGTAGCTATTTTGAATACTCTTTTTGCACTTACAGATAGTAGCTATTTTGCACAGATGGTAGCTATTTTGAATACTTTTCTGCACTTACAGATAGTAGCTATTTTGAATACTTTTTTTGCACTTACAGATAGTAGCTATTTGGAATACTTTTTTGCACTTACAGATAGTAGCTATTTTGAATACTTTTTTGCACTTGCAGATAGTAGCTATTTTGCACAGATAGTAGCTATTTTGAATACTTTTTTGCACTTACAGATAGTAGCTATTTTGAATAATCTTTTTGTACTTACAGATAGTAGCTATTTTGAATACTCTTTTTGCACTTACAGATAGTAGCTATTTTTAATTCTCTTTTTGCACGTACAAATAATAGTTATTTTAAATACTTTTTTGCACTTACAGATAGCAACTCTTTTGAACACTCTTTCTGCACTCACAAATATTAGATATTACTATTTATTTATTTCATATTCAGTATTTACTTACAGATGATATGTCTTTCTGGGATTCTGGATCGGAACTGATCCTACAGACAGTATCACGAAGATCACAAACGTCCAAATTTCTCCCTCCATTTTGTACAGTGATGGTTAAGATATTTGTACGTCTGGTTTTATCCCTGTCTTAATGATCTGAGGTTCCCATATAATGATGGAATGCAGTTTTTACGTTTTCTCTTGAATATAGCGGAGATACACGTAGGTAATTATGTAACATTGAGTGTTTGACACTTAGAAACTTTCATTTAATGTTCAGAGTAAATATTACATTAGATAAGAATAAAAGATGGCATAGATATCGATGATATTGCATTGCATTTATTGAAATGGTATTAATGGAAAAATGTATGGAGAAAAGGAACAAAACTGGGAGATATCATCCGCGTATGCAGGTGATGAAGTACAATGTATATTGCTGTATATAAGTAAATGAAGTTGAAAACTTTATATCAACAGTTATTTATGCGTTATTTACAGTTAAATGCACTTGTAAACTTTAATACATAAATATATATATTCAATATAGGGTGGCTTTTTTTTTTTTGAAGACTACTAATTTTGGTGAGATGAAATGTTGCTTATTAACTCCATTTTGAGATTAATAAATTTTCTTCCATTTAGACTTTCGTCACGTAATCTGACAGTTACTGGATCTTTGATGATGTACATAAAGTATTAAAGTGACTAACAAATTTCAAAAGTGCGCTCTATCATTGGAACATTTTAATTCACTTATGTTTACTTTTTCTTGATGTCAATAATTGTCTCAAACCCAATAAGTTTACGTTTATTCCCATGTAATTAAAAAAAATGAAGTATTTGACACCAATCACGACAGGGACACAATATCACACCCCTGATGTTTTGGAGGTCAATGTTTACTCTGCTTCTATTTCGTAATGTTTAATTGACTTTTAATCTTGAATACTGTTCGTTATCTCAAGGTATTTCATTCAACGTGATAGTTAAATATTTAAAGGACATATTGTCAATAGACATTTATTACTTCTATTTATATGGGGACTCGATTAAAATCAATGAGTTTAAAATAAAATTAACCACAGAGTACTCCTCCTAAGCATCTACTCTCATGATCATCCTGATATAAGATAATATCTTATTACCGTTCGCTTCACTGGGTATAACATTAGACGTTTGCAAAACGATTTCTCAATGATAACTGCACAGTAATTTAAAGTTATTTCATTAATAAATAATTTTTTTTAAGTACTTTACAAAAAAAAAAAAATAAATAAATAAAAAATAAAATCATTTCCAGATTGATAAATTCTTAATAAATATGAGTAAGGTTTTCATGTTTAACATTCTAGGTAAGATTAAACTGCAAGAAAATGAAGTGAAATGTACCTTTCACACGTAAGATCAACACTTATTCCATTTTTTTTAAGTTAAGCTATATGAGATTTTTTTTTCTAAGAAAAATTATAGCTATAAACCGTATCAGGAATGGCATACTTTAAAGGTGGTAACAGTAATGTTTTTTTAGAGTGCAAAATCTGGAACTATGTTTTATTTTGCCAAAGAAAACAACGCTTGGCAGTCTCTGGTGAAAGACAAACAGTTTACAATATGAATAAAAGAAATAATTTTGCAGTTGGTAAATAATCATCATTGATTAGATTTGTGATTAAATTCTGTATTTTTTTAGGATCAGGTCATCGTATGTATCGTATTTTAATTCTCATTCACGTGTCCATACATATTGTCAGTAAGCTGTATTACAGTAGAAAGTTTTGTCGAATTATCATAGGTGTCCCATCCTGTCCTTTTGAGTCGTCATATAAATTTGTATCACGTTCATCCTGTTTTACTGCTGTCTTTATACTACTATCATAGAGATTGTCCGTTATCGTGTTATCATGTAATAATGACTGGTCCCTGATTGTGAGGTCATAGATTCCACTACTCTGTCCCTTTGCGTGGTTATAGAGATCAGTGTTATGAGTTGTTTTCTTTATTGTCTCAAAACGTCGTATTAATCTGGTTCTACGTCTCATTTCTTTTAATAATCCCAACAAAAACATTCTGTGAAAGATCGACTGATGATTTTATCTGATGTTCTGTTTCTATCCTTTGACTTGTGAATCAAATGAAGAAAACTACGTCTTTATTTATCAAATGACTTAATAGTAGTAATACTATTAGACGATTTATGAGGAATACAACATGTACCTTTTTTGTGTGACGTCACATAAACATATCCCTTGCATATATTAATTAGGTCATTGACCCCCTTTTCAAGCAGATTTAAAGTCGTATGTTTATCATATAGCTTGGTGGAAAGATAGCATTTAACGTCTTTTTTAAAATATATCAAGTTCATACAGATAGGTCAGACTGTCTATCTGTTTATATCAAGCTAAGATTATCGTTATCGTGTGTGTCACGTAATGGAAATTACCGTTATTTATTGACAATACGTCATATAAATTTATATTGAGTTGAAGTTTTACAGCATTTTTTTTATTTTAGATATCATAGAGATTGTCCGTTATCTGTGTTATCATGTAAGAATGACTGGTCCCAATTGTGACTTTCATAGATTAATTTGTATATCAAGTTCATCTGTTGTTATTCCATATCCATCTGTCTGTAAATATTCTCAATCAGACGCTCAATCAATTTCAGAGTACTGTTGTCTACAATCAGAAAACAACATAAATATTCTCAATCAGACACTCAATCAATTTCAGAGTACTGTTGTCTACAATCAGAATGTGTTTTAAAAGAATAAATTTGGAAATGTCCAATGGCAATTTAAGCAATTTTCCATTTTTATTAAAAGTTTTCACTTTCACCTCACGGCATCTAATTCATTTATATAATCTGTACTACATACATGCATATTTTCCTTGATATTATAGGAAATAATACACAAAGATGCAATATCATTTTCCTACATTTTTTTTTATCACAGACAGATCATATTATACTGTACGCGGAAAAGATATTAGATGTCAGGCGCGGAGCCAGGTAATTTTTTTACAGGTATGAGGGGGTCCAACACAGTGAAAAAAAAATCCACCCCAGAAAGTTGTTGACAAGCTTTAAAAAATCAACTCGTTTAAACCTGAAAATTCAATTTTGTGTGTAAGGTTGTGTGTGTAGTGGGGGGGGGGGGGTTAGCCAAATCTTTATATCTATGATTTTTTTTATACCACTAACGTAACAGGTTATCCAAGGATCTCCGTGCCTTTGACTTGTGAATGAAATGAAGAAAACTACGCCTTTATCTATCAAATGACTTAATAGTAGAAATTAGACGATTTATGAGGAATACAACATGTACCTTTTTGTGTGACGTCGCACTAAACATTTCCCTTATATATAAAAAATATATGACCCTTTTTCAAGTCAGAAAATTTAAAGTCACCACGTTTATCATATAGCTTGGTGGTAAGATTACAACTAACGTCTTTTTTAAGTAAAATATCTAAGTATTATACAGATGTGTCAGACTGTGGTACCTTTTATCTCAAGCTCAACAGGATATATCATATCGTATTGTATCGACGTAGTAATGGAAATTACCGTTATTAACTGACAATACGTCAATATCAATATCTTAATATTGAGTTGAAGGCCACACAATTTTTTTTAATTATAAGACTCCATATGAGTATAGAAAATAAGCCTGCTTTTAACGGAAGACAATTGGTATCAATTGGAATTCTAATAGATTGCTGTAAGATGGACTTTGAGATTGAATACTGTTCGTTATCTCCATATCCATCTGTCTAAAATAAATTACATAGATATTCTCAATCAGACACTCAATCAATTTAAGAGTACTTTTGTTTACAATTAGAATGTGTTTAAAAAAATAAATTTGGAAATGTCCAATGGCAATTTAAGTAATTTTCCATTTTTTTTTTTTTAAATTTCACTTTCACTTCACGGCATCTGATTCATTTAAATAATCTGTACTAACTACATGCATATTTTCCTTGATATTATAGGAAATAATACACAAAGACGCAATATCATTTTTCCTACATTTTTTTTTATCACAGTCAAACAGTATATATATTCAGTTGTACGCGGAAAAGATATTAGATGTCAGGCTTGTGTTCAAACCAGGTAATTTTTTTACAGGTAGGAGGGGGTCCAACCCAGTGAAAAAAAATCCACCCCAGAAATTTGTTGACAAGCTATAAAAAATCAACTCGTTTACACGTGAAAATTCAATTTTGTGTGTAAGGTTGTGTGTGTACCTGGGGGGGGATTCATTGACTTCCAAATCTTTATATCTATGATTTTTTTTATACCACTAACGTAACAGGTTATCCAAGGATGGTCCGTGCTTTTTAAAGGGAACCAAGTTCAAGACCCCCTACCCCCTCTCCCCTGATCTGCGCATGAATATGTAAAAGAATAAATTCCCTTCTTCTGTTTTTTAAATTATCATGATTCTTTTAAAGAGGAAACCTTCTATGTCTTCTTCCCGGTTATATATGTATTTTCCTTGGTGTGTTTGAGTCAATATAAAAAAATATATGCACCCTTTTGCGTCTGTGTCAATTTGAAGGGAAACATGTTTGGGGAAAATCAAGCAGTATCATAGGGTTGTAGAAAACGAAAACCCTGTCTCAGAACAGATAAATTTATAATTTTATTGCTTAAAGTAATAAAAACAAATAATATTTTGTAACAAGATACCAGTGACTCCATGCTGTCAATGGATTTCGTCAATTGTGTTTAGCTTACAACAACTTAAAAATAACATGTTCCAATTCCTTAATCAGACCAGAGAAATGTAATTAAAATATGTCTTTCCACAATTGTTTCAGCAGTATGTTTTTTTTTTCATTTCTCTCTGCAACCTTTTTTCACGCTGATTCACAGAAGGCCCATCTTAATAGGAGTTATGTGTCTTTTCTCAGTCAGAATAGAAATAAAATAAATTTTAATGTAAAGTTTGTAAATATTCAGGCTCTTTATTTGTTTTTTCCTTGGGAGGAAGGGCATTACATATTTTTAAGATGATTATTCCTTATGCAAATTTTTAAAGACCTCGTTTTCTAACTGCAACATTGTATTGCTTAGTTTCCTTGCTGAAGGTAAGGAACAGTTTTGAGTTGATAGTTTTCATAAAAAAATAAACTTAATGCGAACATTATCATTTTTATACCCACTATTTAATAATGTAATTTTTTTTTCTTTAAAACACCTTCTTTTTTATTTTTTATCTAGAAAATATTTATAATTGAAAAGCCTTTGCAACATGCATTAACGTCTAGCTGCAGAAAATTTAGAGTTATGAATTTATATTTTAGTTAACAGGTGAAAACTTAATGTGACGCCGGGTGATACAAGACAAATCACCACACCCTTTACATCGTTGCACGTTACACAACGTTGGGGTATATTTCTCTTCATTTCAGCATTGCACTATCCCTTTTATTTCTTAATGTTAGATATTTTATTTCTTCATCTTGTATATTTTATCCGCCACCCAAACCCTTTAAAGGCTTCTTTTGAGACTCCCCCCCCCCCCCAAAAAAAAATAAATAAATAAAATTATAAAGGGTAATATGGGGGAAATAATATGCAATTTAGTGTAAGAGTATTTCTCAAATAAGAAAAGGAAAGCTTGTCGATTAATCGATGCAGGAAAGATGATGGGTGAATAGGGCAGGCAGAATGCCTATAGTGCGACAGATAAGATGTGAAAATTTTAATCTCAATTGAATCCAAATTTTACTTGATATTTCATCTAATATTAATGTATACTTTATGTAAAATTTCTACAATTTACAAATACCCACAAAGACAAAATATTCGCCTATGAAAATGCTTACACACACTAAAAAGGACAAAAACGATCATTTTCATGTACTTCAAAGAAATTTTTCAATATGAGTGGGTCTTCCCTCCAATTATTTTGAAAAATGATCCTAAATGTGTGCTATAAAATACACATTTTGTGGTATTCAAAAACATGGAGCGAAGACCCACTATACGTTAAAAGTACAATTTTATTACACAACATTAGCATCTTTCCGAGAAATACTTCAAGTCCATTAAATCGCGGGTCATATAACGAACATGATTTAAATACCTAAAATCACCATGAGCGGTGTAGCATAATTGTTAATGCTTTAGTCTCAAAGCAGTATGCTATTGATACGTCGGATTTTTATTGCTTAGGCCATCCTTAAAAAAATGTTTGTTTGGAATTGCCGCCTGAAGGGTTTCAGACACAGGAGGAAGGGAGGGAAATTATTATTTTTTTTTAATTGAAGATAAATTTAAATTTTTTTATAAAAATCTCAGTAAACAGTAAATACGTATACATTTTCTTACTTTTAAAAAAGTATCTACCATCAACAATAAAACCTAATTTTACATAGGTCTGACATGTGATAAATGTAATGGGCAAAAAAATTGATTAAAATAAAAAAAAAAATCTTCCTACTTTTGGTCAATAAATTTTTTTCAGGAGGGGGCATTTCAATGAGGCGGGAGGAAATTCCACACAAACTATAATTTCATTTTGGCCTTAGGGTTCGAATCCCACGAATACCATTTAATAATTTTATGAAAGAATTTTTTTTACGATATTTTTTTCTCTCTCTGAAAAGTTTTTTTCTCATAATTTCAAAACTTTCAATTATTAAAAGTTAATTTAAATAATCAATTCACCTATTTAATATGATTTCTTAATATCTGACGCTATAGGCATTCTGCCCGTCTTGTTCTCCCATCTTCTTAGAGAAATATATCCTTAAACGTGTGCAGAAAACTGCACAACATTTTCATTACGGGATCTGTAGTATTTTTGTCTAAAAGACTAAATATATATCAATATAAACCCTATTTTTTTTATTTGAAGCTAGTTTATGAAACTTAAAGAGCGCAAACTTTGATTTCGTCTTATGAAGTTGATCTTTCACTACATTCAATGTTAGCGATATCAAAATAAATCATTTAATCCTCTGTTCTTCCATTCATTGATTTGGCTTGTAAATGCAGCATTTTCCACACACAAATAAGATACATGGTCAAGGGAGAAGAAATATTTGTATATGAAAAAAAATCTACGTAATCAAACAACGCATATGTATGGATATGATTGGTTAATGGAGGTATACATTATGATAGGCTGATATATGATTGGTTGATGGAGTTATACATTATGATAGGCTAATAAAATTCTATACTACGTCTCCCAGTTCTCTGAACTTTCACGGGGATCGATTAAAATACTAGCGTGTATAAAAACACATTTTTTTTGTTATCTATATACTTTATAATACCATCTGATTAATAACAAAAAGACAATGAATAATATGAAAACAAAAAATTTATTATTTAATAATTGAATGCGATTTTCGTATTTCTAGGAAGTAAGGTTACATGTATAACACTATTTTTAGAACATTATAAATATTAGGACTTTTTATTAAATTCATTACACATAATATTATATCTATAAAAGTTTTACTTTGTAATATATCATCCATGTCATCATTATCTCAAGAATAAAGTCATAATCATTTATAAAAAAGGTTTTAACTTTAACTAAGATATGTGAACAACTATACAAAAAACAACTATGGATAAAAGATATAAAAAGTCAGTTATATTTTATCATCATGAGAGTTTCTTTTATCTGTTTATTATCAGTCACTGTAGGGAACCATGGTCTGTACCAGGACTCCGGGGACCAGAAACCGTTAAGGAAGGCCTGGTGACACCAGTTAAACCACCAGCCTCCTCTACGGTTACTGAGAGCAGCACAGTTATCACTCCACCTGTCGTTATCTCTGTCCGGGGTACTGAAGTACATCCCAGACAGATCATACTTATAAGGGTAACCAGTGTGTAACATAGAGTCACCTGTAAAATTATCAAAGAAAAATATAACATGAACATCTATTTCATATAAGATCATTATTATTTACCAAAAATTTAAAGCTTAAAGCATCTATAGTATTCAACAATAAAAAAAATTGAATTACTTTAACTTGCATTCCTTTCAATTACAATAGATGAACACTGTTTTCATTTGATATTTAACGTTGTTTTTTTTTGTTATTATTTTGAATTCTTTTTTGACTATATACAAAGATGTTGATGAATCTCAACAGACATAAAAGATTGACTGATTGATTGATTGTATGTAGTTTAGCCTCCCTCTCGAACCTTTTTCACGCATATTGTGACGCCATCACTTTCCGGCTGAGAACTAAAAATTTTGTTTTATAATACATGTTATACACAAAATCGCGACATAAAGATTCCTTACATCACGGCTTTACCCACCGCGCCACGCGGATGACATCAACAAATTTAATTATTATTTCATTCCTGTGAAGCCTATTTTTTAAAATTTAAATTGGTAAGCCTATATACGTACATATAATGAAGGGATATTCAAAATAATAATTTCATGAAACAGCAAGTTAAGTTAACAGTACAGGAAACAATAGCTTTTCTTCCATTTTATGAACACATTAATCATTAGAATTCTTCAAATTTGTGCGACCACATGTAGATACCATTTATGTTATTAATTTCTTCCTTTATTTAAGAAATAAGGTATCATTTTTTGAATTTTATTGAGATGTAAAACGGGTTGGCCACGTGATCAAATCCCATAAAGCCTGAAGGGCTTTTTGGAAGATTTGATCATGTACCAACTAAAAAATTTTACCTTTGTACTCATATTTACATTTTTGACTTGTTCATACTTTATATTTGCCTGATTGTTACTTTTAACGTGTAAAATGCCTTAATTTTTCAAACCCAACGGCATGTATGTATTCCACTTAACGCGCGTCAACCCTTTATGACGTCACGGAGAAATTACGTCGAACGTTTATCCAATCTATGACCTCTTGACCCCACACTTGTATTTACACAGTTATAAAAACGCTTGCCTTTAGTAGTGTTATATAAAGGAAAAGATTTGCAAATGTAAATATTTTTGTATTGCTTTTGTTAAGTCTACTATGCATATTTTCAACACAAAATCGGGTTAATTACAACAAGGCCTCGTCATCGACTGTAAGTAATTACATTTCCAATGCAAGGTGTTTTTTTAAATTAATAATCGTTAATTGATTTCTCTGTATGAGTTATGTATCTGACATCATTACGTACAAGTACGCATGTAGTGTTTATGACGAGGAAATGTTCAATCTTTTAGCAATTTATTACTGATTGGCTCATATAGTATGGACTCTTGATTTTCAATATACAAGGAAAATTTTACTTTCAAAATATTGATATCCACACATCCCCCTCCATTAATTACGTAACTCTAGGTTTGATTTTCACAGAAAGAATTGGTTTTTGTCTATCTGTCACAAGAAATTAAACTCTTTCTCTCTCTCTTTTCTTAATATAGGTCGTCATTCGTACATTCTTTTTTCCGTTTACCTACCCAGGGTCCCGGTAGCTGGTCCTCCAAGGAAAAGTCTGTAATTGTTCGTTTCGTCAGCAACAGAGAACTGGTTGTATAATTCATAGAGCCTTGTCCCATTAGTCAGTGTGATAGATACAGAGAACTGGTTGTATAATTCATAGAGCCTTGTCCCATTAGTCAGTGTGATAGATACGTAGAGGGAGGTGTTCCTTCTTTTAGTAAGTTGATGTATAACCTCATTTCCTTAAATATTTTATCGTCGTGTAATATATAAAAAAGTAATGAAGCAAAAAAAATAAAAAAAATTATTTCAACTTGTCATATAATTCAACATATGATTATGAAGGTATGCAGAAAATTCTAATTGTGTAGTGCATGCAGCAATTAACATACATGCTTTGAAATCAAAGTAGGGAAATCCTTATATATTTTGTTTTTTTTACATAAATTGTTATAAACTTCATTTTAACTGCTAAAAAATTAAATGCTAATTTAAACTGTTAATAATCGGAAGAATTATCATCCCCTAAAACAAAAAAAAATATTACCCGGTTATAGAATTCGTACAATGTAAATAGCAAATTAATGGTTCCCCGAGGGAGGGGAATATTTCTACATCTGGAATCCTAACAGATAACAAATCCTTTGGGAGCCATAAATTTGCTATGTCCTCTGTAGTCATTCCATAACTGTATATAGTTTACCTATCCAGTAGGATCCGTTTGGATTCCCGAATCCCGTCTTGTAGTCCGTCCAGGTTCTGTCGAATGACACTAAACCACTCACACGTTTCTGGATAGCCTAAGGATTTATGATTTATGTCGGGTTTACAAAAGAAAGCAGTGAAGTTTAATTTTTTAAAGTTATGATTTAAACACAAAAGATTTATACACAAGGCCTTTTTAATTATATTAATACCAACAACTATTTAAAGCTAAAAAAATCTTTGTTATAAAAATTATAATATATATTTTTTGTTTACTTTGTAATTAGAATATTTATTTAGGAATTTTAATTATCCTTCTGTAAACAAGGTTTAAAAATAATTCAATGTTAATTCAGCTAAAACATTTGATAGTAGTTTTAAAATCAAAGATCAATAACTTACTAAGGAAATATTAGGTGCAATTTATGGTTGTATGAGAGAGAGAGAGAGAGAGAGAGAGAGAGAGAGAGAGAGAGAGAGAGAGAGAGAGAGAGAGAGAGAGATATCTTACTGTCCACCCTCCACCTTCTGCCACCATGTCACAGTAGACGCTGACCCTGCTTTCAATACCAAATGGATATATCGCATAAACACCAGATACTGTATAACCATTAATATAGAGGTCCTTACAATCTTTATTTATGTTTAACTCTGAAAAAAAAAACAACATAAATACGTGATATGATAAAAATCGTAACATACTCGGAGGGAAAGAGAGAGAGAGAGAGAGAGAGAGAGAGAGAGAGAGAATTACCTGACTTGATGGTTTGCAGTATACTGCTCTTCAAATTTTCATGGATGCTGGTTTCATTTTTCTTAATCAGCGCGATTTCTCGTTTTAAGGAACCAATTTGTCTCGCGTTTTCTTGTCGTAAGTACTCAAGCTTTTCCTTCAATATTTGCATCGTCTGATCATTACGGACGCATTCATTTTTTTCGTCGGTATAAATTTGCTGTGAACTGGTCGCAAAAACGAACAAAACGAACACGAAGATAGCCGCCCAAACTCCTGCCATGCTTTTACTTGCAAGCTGTCTGAAAATAAAAAAAGTTTCCTTAAAAAATACTTAGTTTATATACCCTTAAAACAGGAAGTTAAAAAATTCCCTAAATTATAACTCTGCCACAAGACTTAGATGCTCAGCAGCGAATTTTATTCGACAGTCAAGAAACATAAAATATTCTATGCATGGGTCAGAGATCAAATTGGACATATTGTTTTTATAAACAATATTTTTAATTTATGAATATAAATAAATAAGTCAATACTTATTGAGACTTTTGTGTTCCTATATATTCACGCCTTTCATTTGTTGAATGTACGATTATCACATATGTAATTTTTTTTATTCTTATTTAAGATTAGTTAAAATTCTAAAGAATTTTTTTTCAATTCTCAGCAATTTAGCAATTCAAACATGAGGTAAACTATTATTTAAAAGGTACCAAAGCCACCTTTTGTATAGAATCACCATAAAACATAAAGTATCTCTATAAACTCCATTTAACATTGTAAAAAAGGAGCAAAGCAAGCAAGGGCCTCCAAAACATCAGAGTGGAATCAGGTGCCATGAAGGTGTGAACATCCCCTGTTGACCGGTCACACCCGCTGCGTATTCCTTGACAATCGACAATCTTTTCATAAGTATCTTATCTGTTCAGCAACAAAACCAATCTCTTTTTCCTAAATATTTTTTTTTTCAAACTGCAATTTTATTGAGAAGATCTTCCTAGAATTGACGATGAGAAACCATTGTTAAAAAAAAATAATTAAAATGTTCATATTATTTAATATACCCCATCCTTTTTAGGAACAATTTTATCTTTTATGAGCTTGAATTAATTTTCATTAGGTATTTAAGGAATCACTGTCTAGTTTTGAGGGTATGCAAGGGCATCAACAATAGTGGGAAACATGGGATAATTTGCATAACGGGCGAAGCCCGTTATGCTAAAATTATCCCATGTTTCCCACTATTGTTGATGTCCCTGGCATACCCTCAAAACTAGACAGTGATTCCTTATATTTCCATTTTTACTTGAAATAACCATCTTAAAATAAATCGAAATACCGTCTAATTGAGTAGATTTGAAATGCACAAGGCCCCATGACGTCAAATTTTACTATAAAAAATAGTCCCCCAAAAAAGAAACAATTTATTGACTATTTATATTTACCGTGGTCAAATTTCAACATTTATAAAATAAACAACAAAAGAATTCCAAATGATGATCAAAGTAATCTTGTTGTCTTTAATTATATATGTGACCTAGATTCAGGTTGTCGGAAGCACGAATATAAATAAGCACTATGTCACTTCTCCGCCGCCATATTGAATGTTGCTGAAACGGGAACTGGTCAGCATGGTCAGGAAACCGATTTGTATGGATGTTATAATAACAGAAGAAGTTGAGTTGCTTAAGAAGTCGGATGGTAATGACTAAGGGACGATGTCTGTATCAGATGATAGAGTACGTGCAGATCCATGTGGCAATGTCAATTTCTCCATGTGGCTGTTACGGAAGTGGTGTTCTCGGACTCGTGAGACCTCGGTCATAGTGGACAGCGTTGCACAAGTGACTTGCTTTCGAGCCGAAAATAATTCATTATTTATTTTGTTTGTTAAAAAAATATATATCATATCAAATTACTTAGTAAACAATTAAAACATCTATTTTTCTTGAGTATATTTATACGCCAGTGATATACATGCAGGTTGACACCTGACCTTTCAGTATTAGGGAAATATACATACCACAGGGTATTATCATGAAATTAACAAGAAACACTTTTGTAGTGTTTATCATAGAGAAAACAATTGGAAATGGAAATATTGTATTGTATCCGAATATTTACTCTCATTAATTTTAATCGTTTTTGGAGTTGTATATTGTCCAAATTAATTTGAATTGCTTTATAATATTACAATAGGCATAAATGTGTTGATTATGCACTTTTTTACTTTAATGCAATTGAAATTTAATTTTGTTTTGGTTTAATAAATACATGTACTCCCATTGTATTTGAATTGCTATTCGTCATGTTTAATTTTAAGGGGTTGGTTGCATGCTTATATAAATTTTAGCAAAGGTACGTATTTTTATTCTTATTTTTTTTAAGGCATATTCTATACTTCTGGCAGAACATATAATATTTTTGTACTGTGTTTGATTAAAGTAGCGAAGTTTTGATTTACATGAATGCATAGTAATGCAAAGGTACCCGTATTTCTCATTTTAAAAAAATAGAAAGTGGAGAAAAGAAACATTACAAGAAAAATGTTTTTTTTTTTAAATTAAATATTAATGTTTATGCAATTAGTCCTAAAAATAAAAACATTTCTTGAAGTTATTATTGTTTGTTAGTCCTGGAAAAAAAAATCATTTGTTGAATTTCTTATAATTTCTTACGTTATGATTGTACTTTAATCTGTAATTATTATGAATAAGAAGGATTAAGTAAATAAATATCTAATTAATATTGTATGAAGTAATAAGGAAGAATGCCAAACCAACTTCATAAATAGAAAAAAAATACATCTTAAAGGGTTGGTTACTTCAAAACAGGGCTTAAAACATCGTCGCAAACCACGGCCAAAATGTACGCTCTTCGTCCATCTGGCCGTGGTTGAACGAGAAGAGCATTCTTCGTAACTCACTAAAATATTGACCAATGGGAGTAAAGCATAGTCGGATGAAGAACTTTATCGCAACCTTTCAATATCCAATCGCAGTATAGGAAATATTTCTTGTATACTGTTGACGTAAGTTGTTGATTTCGATTGCAATGAAAATAAAACTTGCAACTGACTAAATATGACGTCACAATAGAGAGGCGTAAATATTCAAGATTACGACACTTTTTGTGTTAAAGCATCCGCGGGTAGGAGAGAGCTGTATATGCGGACTGCGGACCTTTGCTTGATTGGCTTAAAGATCCACAGGAAAAGACTTTTAAAAATGAAAGATATATATTAAAACGGAAGAAAAAATTGTAAAAATAGAAAAAAAATCGGCGATATCTTTACTATCAGTAGTAAGTCCTATCGTAGAAGAAAACCAAGACGTATAGAAATGAAAACTGTAAACTGGTAAGAGATAAACATCCAAGAATAGGACCCGGATGGATGAAAATGTAAACAGTCGTTTGTGAACTGAGATAAGAGAACAAGAAAGTCACTGTCACTGGAATAAACATATTCCTAACTATCACTATTGATCATTAATAAAGTCACTGTCACTGGGATTGACATATTCCTAACAATCACTGTTGATCATTTATAAAGTCACTGTCACTGGGATTGACATATTCTTAACCATCACTGTTGATCATTAACAAAGTCACCGTCACTGGGATTGACATTTTCTTAACCATCACTGTTGATCATTAATAAAGTCACCGTCAATGGGATTGACAGATTCTTAACCATCTCTGTTGATCATTAATAAAGTCACTGTCACTGGGATTGACCTATTCTTAAACATCACCGTGATCATTAATAATGTCACTGTCACTGGGATTGACTTATTCTTAAACATCACTGTTAATCATTAATGAGGTCACTGTCACTGGGATTGACCTATTCTTAACCATCACTGTTGATCATAGATAAAGTCACTGTCACTGGAATAGACATGTTCTTAACCATCACTGTTGATCATTAATAAATTTAACATAGTTATTAAATTTTTAGGAGATGTGATTTTATATTAAATTCATACCACCATGATGCATATCATTTCTTTTGAATATGAGTTATTCTTTTTTTATTTAATTGGTTTTCACTTTTTTAACAGCTTAAATTTACCTCTAATTTGACAGAACGCATAAAATGATTACTATGTAAACGGAAAGCAGAATCAAAAGTCCTCCCCTACCTCCCCAATTCACGTCTTTTTTTGAAGACACATATACGATTTATGTCATAATAAATGACAATTTATAACAGAAATGAAAATAAAAGTGAAAGTAGTTGTTGATATTTTTGCTATGAACATCATCTTATAAAATAGATAAGTAATAAAACGGGACTATTTAAATTTATCTTTTATGAGTTAAGGAGAATTGACACAAATACGTAATTCTCAATTAAGG